TATATAGAGTAATACTTCAAGACCGTTCAATAATCACTCAAATTCGGAGACATATTATAATGTTGTTGGTGCTACATTTAAATCATCCAATTCAAAAGTGACACATGGCAGGCGAAGGGTACTTAGTAGTACTTGATGAGATAGTGAAGAGTCCCACCTTCGAAGGTACTCGCGTGAGCCGCGAATGCAAGTTCAATTGGTAAAGATAATGGGCAACATATGAGAGGTGCGTGGAGAAGGAGTTAACAAGGAACAGTTATTAGCAGTTACATATGCACGAAGAGAAGATTATGGCCCTAAAAAGTAGCGAGAAAGGAGATCATAGTGAGAGATAATAGCCTAATTGCTTTGAAGGCATCAGAAGAAAATTATAAATAAATGAAAACAAAGACTAAGGAGACCCTTGACTAAATCTAATCTCTACATCTTTATCAATTTCATTTATTTTTAAATTTATGCAATACACTTACATTTTGTAAGTGTAGATTAGCCTTGTAATTCCAAAACTTGGTCGGTTTAAAAGTTTCAAAGTTGCCTTACTAAAGGTAACATTTTGTAATTGTTTATTCAGTTAATTAATTACAATTTCTGTTCAATCTCTCTCATTTTGTTACGAATTTGAATTAAAGCTTTAGGTTATCTTTTCAACACAACATAATAAAAAAAAATTCATTGAAGTTAAGAAAAATTTTACACATTCGCTTAATAAAAATTGATATTTATTGGAGTATTTATAAAATTTTTCAAATCTTTTCTAATGTTCTTGAATTATATTTCTAACTTTTAAAAAGTCAAAAATAACCAACAAATGTTGCAGCAGAGAAAAATTTGTCCCCCAGCAATAATAATTCAATGAGGGAGACAACAAAATATTGATCCCAACGCAGCATGGCAAATGCACCGCCAGATGGTGACCGATACGTGGCGGTGCAGCGAAAAGCAGCTGAGTACGACTCTTTAATTAATAGTTCCTTTCATATTTGATGAATGCAATCACCATCTCCTTTAATCTTTTTTTGTTATTTATTATTTGATGTGACATAAAATGTTAATTAATATTTAATTTAGGATACTACAATTTTAAGTTTAAATTTAAGGTAATGTTTGGTAGAGTTTTTAAATATGATTCAAAAATAGAATTATATTTTAAATTTGTGAGTTTTGAAATTATGATTTATGTGTGAAAATTTTGTTTGATTATAAGTTTTAAAAAGAGTTTTTGTGGGAATTTTAAGTTTTTGAAACTAGATTAATTATTTGATTCAAAAATTTACAACTCATAACCAAACACACAATCCAAAATTCTATTCCAAACTCATATAAAAATTAAAAAAATTCTAAAAATATTTTTTATTTACAATATAAAAAAAAATCGAACACTGTTCCGATCAATCGATTGGATGTCCAGGAAGACGACCGAATTAGCCAAATTTTTCCGTCTGGAAAGGAGTTTTCAAAAATAAGTGTGAAATTGTAATTTGAAAGCTCAAAACAAACACTACAATCAAATCAGTGGGTGAAAATATGTTTAGAATACCTAAAGAAACACGGCCTAAATTTTTTTAGACAATTACTCCCAACTCTCTTCAGTGTTTGATTTTAATTTTAAAATTAAATTTTTTATTTTTTGTATTTTTTATTGTTAGTGAATATTTTAAAATTTTAAGTAATTTTTTATATTTTTTAAATTCACCTTAGTTAGATGTATCTAAATAGTAAAATATTTGTGAAAAATATTTTTAAAAATTAATAAATACACAAAAATATGAAAAATATATTGAATTTTAGTTTTTTTTTTTTTTGTATCTTTAGTATTTAGTGAATTTTTTAAATATTTTTTTCACAAATATTATATTTTTTAAGTGTATTTATATTAGGTGTGTCTAAAAATTAAAAATTACTTAAAATATTAAAAAAATTCAGTAAATATAAAAAATACAAAAAAAAAATAATTTTTTTAAAAAATGTATTCTAAAAATAAAAATCAAACAGAATAATTATTTTTATCTATAATGACAATAATAATTTAAAATACTAATATGAACTTTTATTTATTTGTTTATTTGTTCACATGTTTGCTTGTTCGCCTATTTATTCTCCATCACTGCCTGATTGTCACCAATCAACGACTTTTTGGCGAGTTGCAAATAGCGATAGGCGACGATTGATAGTGACGTGTGAAAATAGAGATAGAAAAAATATTAGAATAAAAATGAAAAATAATCAATGTGTTTAATTCGAGTTTTTTTCATTAAATTTTTTGAAAATTAAGTTATTTGATTTTTGTGTTTTTTTTTTTATTTTCAGTGAATATTTTTAAAATTTTAAATATTTTTTTTAGTTTTTTAAATACACCTTACTTAAATATATCTAAAAAGTAAAATATTTGTAAAAAAATATTTTAAAAAATTAATATATACATAAAAATACAAAAAATATACTGAATTCTCATATTTTATTTATATTTTTGATATTTAGTAAATTTTTAAAAGGTTTTTTTTTCCAATTTTTTTACTTTTTAGATATATTTATGTTAGGTATCAGTAAAAATTAAAAAAAAAAATTGCTTAAAATATTAAAAAAATTCAGTAAAAACAAAAAAATATAGAAAACAAGAAAATAAAATTTTCTAAAAAATATTTGTAGAAAACTCTAACCAAGCAATTAATAATTTGTATTTTTTTACCATTATATATTCCATTAACTATATCCTTAAAATCAAAACAAATAATTCATTAGATTTTAATGACCTATATACCTATAAAAGTGAATTTATCAAAAAGCACCTTCTTCGTTCTCATGTTGAATCTATTTTGATAATTTAAATTGTTCATTTTATAGGAATTAATAAGAAAATTATTCATATAAAAAATCAAGTCAATTGAATATTGTTAGATATATGATCAGATTAATTTTGTCATAATAAAAACAAATAGTCTATTAGTAAAATTGTAAATATCATGTATTTTATTAAGAGATATGTGAACTGAACATGTGTCTTACCAAATATGATCAATTTAATTTTGTACATGAATGATCTTTTTGACAATCTTTATAAATTAAATGGTTTGAATTATCAAAATGAGGCTAATAAGCCCACAAATGGCCAACTGCACTTTCGATTGCAAACAAGATGCATCCAATATAATAAATGGAGATGATCATAGTAACATTATTATATTTTTTCAGATGAATAATATTATTATGACAATTTATTTCTATTAGTATTGTATTAAATATATGCAAGAGTGGTGCAATCTATTACACTAATAAAATGTTCACAAATAAAATTATAAATATAATATTGTTGAAATATAATAAATGTAGCATTATTATTTCTTCATTCATTCACAAAAGTTGAGTGCAATTTGGACAGCCCCAACATAAACTACTCGAGCTCAGTTAGTAATGTTTTAGAGAAATTTTGAATTACTTTTTTAACTAATTCTAAAAAAATCTAAATAATAAAATACACATGATTATTTTGTCTAAAAATTTATTTTTGTTTTTGAGAAAATGATTATATATTGTATAAATAATGTTTATACTTATCACATTTGTATACCGTATTTTATTTATTATCTTACTTATTAATATAATATGTGTAATAAGTCTCATCACTTATGTATATGTTTCATATAATGCTGCGATAATTAAGTTAATACATCATTAAAAATTAAGGGTTGGTGTCGAGGCTAGCTCAGTTGGCCTGCGAAAGTGCAAACCAAGCTCACATGTGGACCAAATCAACAAGCTTTTTCTTGAGAGCTCAAGTCGGCCTAACTTGTCAGCCAAAACCTTAACCACAAGTCCTACCAACGAATTTAGTCTAGGCGAGCTTGTGAGTTGGGCCAATGGGGCTCCCCTTATGAACCAAAGGACTTGGCTTGATGCTAATATTTAAGACTATTTATTTTATTTATTTTTTTGTTTTTTTTTTTTCATAATTGCTAAAGGGTTTGCAGGTGGACCAATGGTCGGATTTCAAATCCAAGATCCAAGTCTAATTTTATTTATGCGGGGTTAATTTGTTTAACGTATAAACTCAAATTAAGTAAAGATAGATCAAATCACAAACTTTCAAACATGATGACAAGGGCAAGAGATGGTCATCCAAACATTACTCAAATTGTATACCTATATGTGATGTTGCAACAAATCTATAGATACATATTGACCACATAAACCAATCACACTTTATTACAAGTGAAATAACTCAATTAAAGTTATATCTTTTAATATAAATCATATAATTTGATAGGTATAAGAATGATTACTTTATGTGATTGTTAAAGTTATATCTTTTAATATAAATCATATAATTTGATATATATAAGAATGATTACTTTATGGCCTCGTTTGGAACAGACTAATTTAATAATTTTTTAGTTATTTAGCTAAAAAGGTAGGTAAAAAAAACTTGTATGTTTGGAATGATTTTTTGGCTAATTATGAAAAGATGTGCAAAAAGTAAAGAGAAAATAGAATATTTGACTTTTTGATAATTTAGGCCTCGTTTGGCAAGAGGCTATTTTAGCCAATTAGTCAAAAAGTTACTAAATTAGCCAAAAAGTTAAAGTTATATCTTTTAATATAAATCATATAATTTGATAGGTATAAGAATGATTACTTTATGTGACAATTAAAGTTATATCTTTTAATATAAATCATATAATTTGATATATATAAGAATGATTACTTTATGTGATTGTTAAAGTTATATCTTTTAATATAAATCATATAATTTGATATATATAAGAATGATTAATTTATGTGATTGGTAAAGTTATATCTTTTAATATAAATCATATAATTTGATATATATAAGAATGATTACTTTATGTGATTGTTTTGTAATTGATTTTGTGTGCTAGTCTTGTTAGCGATAGTGACAGAAAGTACTAAATTAATTTCTCACCATCGACTCTCACAATCACTCACACGTGTCAACTCTTTAGCGGTTCATTTCCCATATTTTATCATCTCCTCTCTACCCTCTCTCTCTCTCTCATCTTACCTTTTACCTCTCTATCTAAGCCCCTCTCTGTGCTTCTGCTTTTCAACATTCAAAAGCTCAGTTGGTGGCGCTGAATGTAAGGTCTTCCATGGAAACTAACTACCACTTACAGGAACAAGACAATCACCGAGTCGACTCGGTCCTCGAATTACCCTCCTCGAGTTCCGCCGCCTCGTCGATACTCGGTAGTGACGACGTTCGGAGCAGCTCCAGCTCCGGCGACATCTCCGCCACCAGCAGCAGCAGCAGCTCGGGGGATATTCCGGCCACCTTAGTGGCGCCGCTGCCGCTGGTGGGGACGCCGGCGCCGGACCTGATGGCGGCGGAGGAGGCGACGGCGCCGCCGAGGCAGAAGTGCGTGGGGAGGAAGAACAAGGGAGTGACGTGGGGGTTCAGTTCGGTGATCGGGAGGCGGAGGGAGATGGAGGACGCCGTTGCCGTCGTGCCGGGGTTCATGACGCGCACGTGCGATCACGTGGGAGGGTGCACCGGCCCCGGTTCTCAAATCTCTGGAGAGATCTCGCCCGTCCATTTCTTTGGCGTCTATGATGGGCATGGTGGCTCTCAGGTACTTCCAACTTTTACGGTAAAAAGTAAATTAAAATTTAATTTTACATATCAATATCATGTAAATTATTATGGGAGACTTTTAAAAAGTTATCTTATTATCCTATAGTAATAACGTTTTATTAAATACTATTGTTAATTTCCATGGTCAGTTTGAAAATTTTATCATAAAAAAATGTCACTAATTATAAGTTTTAAGTTGTAAGAGGAGTTGAAAAAATCGTCACAAAAAAAAAAATCGTTAATTTTTAACTTTTAGCAATATTTTGAAAAAAATTTCACATAAAAATATTACTAATTGTAAGTTTTAATGACAATTTATAAAAATTGTGATAAAAAAAAGTCATTAATTATCAATTTTTAACGACATGTAAAAAATCGTTAGAAAAAATATTTTTAGTGACGATTTTATTAAAACTTAAATAGGACTTGAGGAGAATTAATTGACAATTAAGTCCAATCATTTGGATCTATTGTAGTTACCGAATAATTATCTAGTGCTTAGGTTAAGTATTAACTTTTGTTTATCTGATTGATTAGTGTTTAGCAATATAAGGAAAATTATAGGTGATAATCACATTTTGGAAAATGTAAATTGAACTTTTGTTTTTAAAATGATAGGATTCAGAACTATCACATTATTTTGGATAAAAATTCTATTTAAATTTAATGTTTGTATGTATAATACAGTTAAAATATTTAATTGCAAAAGATTTATTAACATTTTCCAGTACATAGGTTTGTCTTTCAGAGCTCCACCTTGGTTTAGTTATGTAATTAAGTTGACTCTAGTTAATTTTGAGTTTCTCAAACAATGGACAATTTGAGATCGAGCTCGATTTTTAAGTTCAACTTAATTCAGCTTTAATTTGAGTTTGACTAATTTTTTAACAAGCTGAACTCAAACATCTCAAAATCTAACTCAAAACTCAAATTGGGTCATTTGCAACCCTATATTAGAATTAGGTGACTTCATCATGGATCTCCTTAGCTCCAACTCAGACCCTTTCGTGATTGGTTCCTCATATATTCATTATACAATTGGTGAGCATTTGTTGAGTGTTGGTAATGGGTGGTAGATGGAGGGTTTAGGTGAGGTGGAGTTCTCATCTATTGGAGCTGCCAACCATGAGGATCAGGAGTTATTTATTTATTTATTTATATTATTATTATTATTATTATTATTTTTAAAAATTGAGCTGCATTAGTGTATTGGAATTAGAGTATGTGGCTTTAAATGATTTAACTATAACTGTAGCAAATGAAAGGCTGTTACTTGGGGAGTTAGTCTAAAGTTAGTTATAATCATACCAAAACTTTAGACTAAGTTTGATATGGTAAACTGTCATTATGCTTTTCAATTATTTATAACCTTTGACATCTTTTGTTATTATTTTTTATTATCTCTTTTCTCCTATATTTAACTTGTTTGCCTTGCATTTGCATGTTTCTCATTTGAAGGCATGATTGTATTTTAATTAACTTTGCTTAAAAAATTTATAGGTGGCTAACTTTTGTGCGGAGCGTATGCACAAAGTGATAGCAGAGGAGTGGGACAGAGAAACAGTTGACGGATTTGAATGGCGCCAGAGGTGGGAAGCAACATTCTCTAGTAGTTTTGAGAGGGCTGACAATGAGGTAGTGACAGAGGCATTGGCACCAGAAATGGTTGGATCAACGGCTGTTGTGGTGGTTCTATCAGGTTGCCAAATTATTACATCCAATTGTGGTGACTCAAGGGTAGTGCTTTGCCGAGGGACTGAAACAATCCCCTTGACTGTTGATCAGAAGGTGAGTTTAGAAATTCTCCAAGTTCTGTTCATGTGAATGGTATTTAGGAGAATAATTTGATAAATTTCACCAGACATACAGGAAATTTGTGAAAACTATCTAGAGACATAGCATTGGAAAGGAGACTTTAAAAAATTTAATAAATTTTATAACTTAAAATTTTATAATTATAGATTTACCCAATAGTAATATCTTTGGTAAAATTTAATTCAACTTGGATTTTACCAGATTGTCGAGGGTTTGTGCATCTTTGGGAGTTAGTCGGGTTTTGATCCGGACACCCAGTGCCAATAAATAAATAAAAAAACCTTGGATTTTACCAGATTAACATTCAAGAAAGATTTATACTACGAACTTAATTGGTAATTGCTTCTAATTAATTAGTAGTTGCTATAAAAATTTAGAGCATTTAATGAAAATATATTAGATTAAGATGGATGGATTGAGTATACTCTCTTCATAATTGAATTAACAGTTACCATAATTGAATTTGTTTTAGGAAAAATGTTTGAGACTCACAAAAAGCTTTCACAATTTGACTCATAATGATGTGGTGTGATAGATGTCAATTTTGATTTGTTACACTCAATGATACAAGGCCCAACTCCCTTGCCATATCATTATGGGTGGGTTTATAGTCTAAAATTGGGGGTTTCTAGCATTTCTCTTGTTTTAGTTTTCTGTTATTACTTAAGTGTGTCTGATCTGATTTCTTTTTTATTTTCTGTTCTTTGTTCTCCTAAACAGGAAGATAAAATTAATATGAAAATTTTGTTTGACAAATTGTTTCAAAAAACTGTTTGTGGGAAGATTTTCTAAAAATACCCCCTTTTGGGAAATACTTTTAAATTATTTTCAGAATTTTTGAAAAGGTGGTGCTTCTCATGACGAAAATCTCACGAAACTGACTCACTTGGAAAATGGTCATTGGCAGATGCATCTATGGGCCCATGACATTGCATAGTCCTGTTACGCCACATGAGTTGACTTCTACCTTTTAATTGGCATGCATATCATTTTCCTTTTTGAAACTGTGTTCACATAATGGCTTTGTTTGGTTTATTTACCAAACTATGAAGATCTGAATGTTATTTACCAAATTAGGGCAAAAGTTATAAAAGGTATATCAAAACCAGAGTTCTCTCCCTCTCTCTCCTTGCAATGTCTCACTTCTCTCTATCAATTATTTTGTGTACATAATGTTTGCTTTAATTGTTTAACTACTATTCAAGCAACCAAAAGGGATGAAAACAATTTAGGTAGGTTTTGTAAATTAACTAAACACATGGAAAAATTGGGAAAAGTAATTAAGCACTTATGCTCTGAGGGAACAAGCAAAAACTATGTTTCAATTAAACATTTGTTGTACTTTAAAATTCTTGTATGCATATAGGTTTCTGGCCATGTTTCCCACTTTTCTTTTCCCTATTGTTTCGTGCTTCCATTTGCTATTCTGGTAACTATCATGCATGTAGCAAATGGGGCTGAGAGAGAGAGAGAGACAGACAGATTCGCTGGACATTTATCTCTTTTACCAGGTTTAAAGACAATTGTTGTTGTTAAATTGTACAGCCTGATAGAGAAGACGAACTCATGAGGATTGAAAGTGCGGGAGGGAAAGTTATAAACTGGAATGGCGCAAGGGTGCTTGGTGTTCTTGCCATGTCCAGAGCTATAGGTATCTTTTCTCTTCTTTGCAGATGTCCTGTTTGTCAATTTTAAAGCCTGCCTGCCACTATGTTATTATCAAAGCATCTAATGATACTTGTTCTTTTCAACACCGTCATGCAAATTTCAGTGTTGTTTCCATCTATTGTGTTTTTGTAACATTTTACTACAAACCAAACGGAACTGAATCATTGTGTGCTTTTGTTGAAGTTTCCAGATGTCCAGGATGGACCTGTACTCCTTGATATAACTACACAGAAAAATGAGTAGTATTTTGTTGGGTCAATCTTGTGAGAATATATTGTATATATGGCATGATTGTCCTAATATATACAATCATGCCATATATACAATATATTCAAACAAATCTCACTTTACCTTCATGTGATTTACTCAATATGCAGTTTACCTCCCAACATTTGAACATAAACACATAATTCCTGTGGTGTATGAACTAAAATGCACTGTTTGTACCGTTAATGACTCAAGTGAAAAGCTAAAACATTTTGTAAGCTGTAGCTTTTTTTTAAAGAAAAAGTAAAATATTGACTTTCATTCCACTTTTAAAAAATATAGTAAGGTAGTGAAGTTCAGAGTGGCAGCCTGGCAAGTAAGCAAGAAGTTCATCCATTGAAGTTGGAAGTAATTTCAGCACTTCATCGATTTTAGTTGAAGTAAATGATTGATCTCTATCGTATCAAGTAAGGGGAGTAAGAGGGCCACATGAATCGATCTTGTTTATTCAATCTAGATCTCCATTGCAATTGATCAATGCGATATTGAGTATGCTAACGTGAATCTCTAACTGTTGTAATCAAGTCTCTCAATCGCTCTCTCCTGTTGTTAACTCTCGAAATGCTTGCAAGGCTCTCAAGCGGTCTACCTGTTGCAACGGTCGAGGGGCTTTCCGGAGGACTAAAATGATATAGATAAGCCCTTTTATTACTCGTTTAGACTTCCCTCCTTCTAGAGCTCTGCAAGTATACTAACTTGGTTACCTATCCTTGTACACAAGTAATCTCATTCGCACATTCTCTTCATTTTTTTAGGACTCGATCAAAACGCACTTTACCCCTTTGCTTTTACTTTACGTGCAGTTTACCACCTGAAATTTGGATATAAGCACATAACCCCTTACAGGCACACGTTTCACACTTGTTACCTTAGACAAAATGTCTGACGATGCAATTTAATTCACAAACTATAAGCGGGTTATGTACTTATTTCCAAATGATAGGAAGGCAAACCGCACATGAAGTAAACCATAGGGGTAAAGTGAAGTTTGCCTTATTTGTTTTATGCTAAGTTGTTAATCTTAAAGTACTACCTTGGTGATTCTCTGTTATGTATGGAAATCCAAAATCGTTTTAACGCTTCAATAGACCACGGAGTATTATGTTACAATTGCAGCGAAGTAGAAACATTTATGAAGATTTCAAGAGGAACATATCTTCTCAAGATTTCTTCTTCTTCTTCTTCTTCTTCTTCTTCTTCTTCTCACATTCTTTTGTGTTCCTTTGGATTTGAGTCTTTTACTGATGTCTTCCTGTATTTGATGTCAAAATGAACCCATCATGAGGTTCAATAAAATTGAGCAGACTACATTCCAAAAATCACTCTATTTTGAAGAAAATGGTGATTATATAGCTCTACTTTTCATGCCTTGTCATATGAGTAATTTTGAAAGTAGTTAAGCTTAATAGGTGTGTTGGTTTCAGGTGACAGGTTTTTGAGGCCATGGGTTGTTCCTGTTCCTGAAATCTCTTTCACAACAAGGAGCGATGAGGATGAGTGTCTAATATTGGCAAGTGATGGTCTTTGGGATGTCATGTCAAACGAAGATGTTGGAGAGGTGGCTAGACGCCTCTTAAGGAGACGGCGCAGATGCATGATGGATGATGAGATTCCCGCAGCACAAGCAGTCGCTGATAGTCTCACTGAAATAGCTTTTGGGAGAAACAGTTCTGACAACATTTCTGTCATTGTTGTTGATTTAAAATCGAAGAGAAAGCGTCAGCAAAGGCAATAGGAAAGGGAGTAAAAATTCATTCACTCTTTCTGTTTCTATTCCCCGAAAATCCAACTCAACTCTATCCCCTCATGAAGGTCAGAGATAAGAAAGGCAGGACTGGTCTAGAACTGACATGAATAGAACTGACTGGCATTATACTCCTGCTTGGTAACAACCAGGAACTGGTCTGTTACTGTGGTGGCATAACACTAGATCAATCCCTAATTTGAGTTGGTTTGGTCAACAAAAGTCTAAATGCTAAAGGAAATCGAATGGGGATGGGAATATGGAGGCTGTTTCTTTCAATTTCTAAGAATATTACTTATCATTCAACCCCAGTGATAGGGAACATTATGAGCCGAAGGGAAAATGCAAATTTTAAAGCATCTGGATCCATGGAGATATGAAATTAGGCCTTTTTTAGTTGTGCTCTTTTATATTATGTATGTGTGTGTATATATGACTCTGGAAATTTTAACCAATGATATGGATGTTGATTTTCTCGAATACATCTCAAAAAAAAAGAAAAAAAGAAAAAAAAAAAAAAGAATTGGAGCCTTGTGTAAACAAGTGCTCATGGAAGAAATAAAACCGACGGCCATTCTCGTTTTTTGAGTTTATATTTTGGATGAATTTAAAGCAACGGTTTGCGCAGATCGTGTTCACTAATAGTTAAGTATGGCTGGAAGAATGTAGAAACATGTACAACAACAATTTGTGTTGAAAATTGAATCTATTATTAGTCTTTCCTGGTTGTGTAGCAGTTGATATTTGAATTTTCAGTTATATGCCTATGCTGCAATATATTTCCCGTTCAGTTAATTGTTGTTTTCATGGTTGGACCAATATGCTGAGACCTTGATGCAACAGTTTTTCTGTCATTTTGTGGGGCATCATTTTATTTGTAATTTTGTTATTGGGAAAAAATAATTTGTGTTCATGATACTCGTAGACTACCTCACACATATTGCATATTTCCCGCCATCGGCTCAATCAAACAGGGTATTTTCATCTATTGCTTCATCTTTCATGTTTATTATTAGTTTCCATCTTATTCATAGACTGCATGTTATGTTTGGGATTTTTTTCATGGATTTGTTTATTACATTTTGTTTCACATAGATTTGGTTTTTGGACTGAATTTAATTTTGTTTTAAAACCCTAAAAAATTAATATTTCAATTCATGAATTTTGTACAAAGCTCTAAGTTCAATTTGGGAGATGGTGTATAAAACCCAAAAAAAAATCTATAATGTTAATCAACCTAATTTTGTTTGCAATTTTTTTTTACTCTATAATGTGTTTCTTTACAGTTATTTCGATTCAAAATACAAAAGTTGCTTGTCACTTTATGAGGATTAAGCATTCTTTCTTCTCAAAAACAAAATACAATTTGTCTTTGCTGGTCATCTCGGAGGACACTACCACGGTGCAACCAAATATACGAAATGAATCACCACCCGGCAAAGAATGTGTTTCCACCTAGACACACCTCAATCGGTGTCCGAAACCCATCTCAATTTAGGCTCAAAGTTAGGCAAAAATCATGGTTGCACAAACTATTTACTATACACTCTGTGTTATGGTAATTGTTCAAGGAAGCAGATGACCGGTGGGACAACCGACTGGACGTCCGGCCGGTTATCCGGTGGGACCCACTTCCTGTAACACCCCCAAAATAATAACATAAACACATCTATAAACATATATAAATAATAGCATAAATCATAGTCTTGGTCCTTTCATTACATAAAGTTAATGAATACAAAGAGTTTAATGTAAATGAATGCCCTATTGGCTTACACATTTCCAAGTCTTAACTTGGTTACAACAAAAGTGGGACTAACCCTTATAATTTAAGCCCTAGGCTATACAAAATATAACAAAACAAGAAGCTCTTACTTCCCGGAGATCTCTCAAATACTATTGCCTTGGTGGAGGCATGTTATCATTACTTGAAAATGTTATTCCCAAGTAGGGTGAGCCACAGCTCAGTAGAAATTATCTAACACAGTATATGAAATTTAGCAAATGTATAAGTACAAGTGCATAAACAATGCATGTGATGAAATGTTTCACAACTATATATATATACTCATGAGATACCAATTTTCAGGACTTAATCCACTTCCTTTCAATTCATATTCCGTTCACTTTTCTGTTCTCCATTCATGAGTCAATTTCATTCTTTCTCAACAACTGAATTGAGGCTACAACTCAATAAATTTCAAATCACACAACACATATGCATGAACACTTCAAACTCCTATTTCACGGAAATTTCGTCCGCAGGCAGCTGTCAAACAGGACCCATGAAAACGTAGGCTATACAAGCATTACAATTGCCATTTTATGGATATTTCGTCCGCGGGCTAGGCACCCATGTATAATTTCGGGACTTTCACCCAAGATACTCTGGTTAACTTAATTATAATGGGGTCCAACCCCTTTCTCCTCCCAAACAAACATTCATACATATTGAATGTAGTTAAAAAGAAAATCAAACATGAAGCACATCCCATTTCCACTTCCAAACGAACATACATAGACAATGTATATAATCACGGTCATATGCAATGACAACCATCAAAAGATTAGTTTCAATTTACCTAATCTACATGCAATTTCTACAACAATCAAAGCTATCCTCCACCGATAGCCCAATATAGTTATCTCTAAATAGATCTTCAATCTCAATAGATAGTTTATTCAAAACTTCCAAAAGAATAAGTTAATTCATAACCAATTTCACCATTTATATTAATACCCTCTCAATTTCACATTTCCAATGCCAATTCCAATTTTCGTACAAAAAGATAGTTTGACCCAGTTAGGGCAATTTCCTCTTTTTCCCAAATATTAGCCAAGTGCCAAAATCATCAAGTTTGACATAGCACAACATCATTTTCAGACCCCACAAACATTAATTTTATCTACACCCAAAATCCCTCTATGTATTTTATGTTCCAAACCCTAGGTTTGTTTAAAACATCACCAAGTCACACCATTGTTACACAAAAGACAATAACTAAGCTAAATATCATATGAAGGTGTAGAAAGATCCCTACCTCAAGAGAAGAAGATGAACCCAACAAAAGAGAAACTCCAAGAATGCCGAAACCCACTTCTATTCAGATCAAAATGTAGATCTTGACAAGCTCTACCTTTTTCCCAAAGGCACTAGGGTGGAAAGAAGGATGGATCTAGATGAAATCTAAGAGAGAATGTGAAATGTAGAGAGAGAAGCTCAAGAATAAGCTTTTTGGAGAATTTTAGAGAGAGAGAGAGAGAGAGAGAGATAAGAAAAAGTGACTCAAAACTTCATTTTCTCGAACTGATATTCACGCAGTCCGCTCGAGCGTGGGAATCCCCGCTCGAGCGTTAGACACAGACTCTCGCTCGAGCGTGAAACTGGACGCATGAGTGTCCAATGCATTCTTCCAGCATCTGCAGACCTGCCAAAAAATGTTGAGAGTTGTAGATTCCTACTTGAGCGTGAGAATTGTCGCTCGAGCGGAGGAGCAAAATTTGTGAAGCCCGCTCAAGCGCAAGGATGCCTGCTCGAGTGGAAAGGCCAAAATCTGGGCTACACAGGTTTTGAAAAGGGAGTACCTAACCTGTTCCAAACGCACAATTATAACTCGATAACCAAAAATAGAGGGGAGACAAGGGAAACAAGATATGAATAACCTTCCAACCCATATAACCCGAGTCCAAAATATAACAAGAGATGGGTTAAGAACCGGAATCACTATACTTCCAACGTAAACTCACAGTAAATTGGTGAAATCTCCCCAGCTCCTCAATTTGGTGAAAGTTTTGGCTCGTTCTCAATTTGATATCATTTTGATGAAACCATTGGAGCGATAAAAGCTGTCATTTTTCATCAAATTCAAATTTGACGATTAATCTGGTGAATCGTTATAGATGGCCTTACAGTGACACTCATTACACACCCAAAGGCAACACGCCATTCAAGGAGGAAAAAAACATGCCTAGCTTCTACACAAAATCTAATAAGTAGATAAACATACAAGGAAAATCCAACAATTAGGCCAAGCAACAATCAACGCACACACCTACGATTTCATAGGAGTCTTACAACTTGATTTCTTAGACTTGATAGAGAGGCTAACCTCTTGAACAAGTTTAAGATTAACGATTCTTTCAAGAAACTTTTTTTTATTTTCCACTTTTGAAGATGGGTTTGTTCATAGAACAACGAATGTTCCATCTGAAAGGGATTGAGGAGATCTTTTGAGACGTGAAGATTGTTTACGAGCAAACCCATTTATAATACCCGCATCCCTGACAATTTTTTTTCTCTTCCTTTGAAGCCTCTTCATTCGGAATATCTTTTGAGGGGTTACTCACTTTCAAAGAGGAGCAATTTGCATTAAGCATGCTCTTAAGATCTGCACAAAAAGAAACCTCCTCATTGGCTACACAAGTATTGAGAATATCAAATGCATTCAATGAAGATGGAGGAGGTGTAGGAACAAAGTTAACCATAGGAGCATCAACGACATCCTTGCCTTTTTTCTTTTTCGCTTCAACCCATTCACTTGGCTTGCCTCCCTCCTTCGTCTTGGCTACTTCTTTGGCCTTCCACTCTTGTTTGAGTTTACTAGGAGCTTGAGTTTTTGGTTAGCTTGGACACAAACTTGTAGCATGACCAAATATTTGGCATTCTCCACACATTGGGGCTTCCAAGGAACTTCCATTTTGATTTTGAACGGTTCTCTATATCCTAAGTTTACAACAACGGTTCTCCATATTTGGACACAAACTTGTATAAATGTTATTATGCCAAACTTATTAGGCTCATCTTGTTTTTATTCACCCAAAAAAAAAGGCTCATCTTGTTTTTTTCTAGACTTTAGGAGTGATTGGTGTAATTTAACCTTTTTTTCACATAAACTAAGTTTTGTGATGGTGGAAATGATTAATAATATTTTTAAGTTTATTACTCTTTTCCAAACTTATATATATATATATATATATATGTTGTAAATTGATCATTATTGGACATTTATTTCATACATTCTTTATGAATTGATTTTATTGCTCTTTCTTCCAACCTCAAGTAATTTTTCGTGAATAAATTATTGTGGATTCTTTATTCCTGATATTCTTTATGACATTAGGGAAGGATTATTTTTGCTAGATCCATCAAGGAGACACTGTTTAGCATGTTATGTTTCAGATACATAAATTGACAACACACGATTTAAGTTTTCCTATCTTTGATTGCGCTCTTGAGTACTCCAGAGGACACCGATGAAGCTGGATTGATGGCTTTCCGAATCTTGAGGACATTCCAAGCAGTGCCAGCACAGTGTCCTGCAGTCGCAAGCACATCTTCTGTTGCCTCCCCTGCATTTTCTCCAAACCTGTTTGCTCAACAATGGTAAAAGCCAGGCAATGAAAATTCAAATGGAGTTAGAGAGAAAAATAGGAGAAAAAAAATGAAAAAGTATTGGAAAAATTCATATCAATTAAGTTGTGCTGGGGAAAAAAATGGAAAGAATTGAGCTAATAAACTAGACAAATTGATTTTATGTACTGCTTGGAAATGGGAAAATTTGATTCAATGGGACAAATTTTGTCGAAAAATTGTTGCATTCTAAGTTGGTGCTCTGGAACTACTACACAATTACTCAATTTTGCAGTGATTTTAAATTCTCATTATGACAACTTATTGTGTTTTATTCTCTATTTTTGTAAAGTAACCAAAAATGTGAATGTACACCAATATCTGTTGTAATTTATATAAAACCATGTTTCAGTCACTATTAAGTCTATTACCTTTCAGAAACTATTCTGGTTGTGGCAGCAGAGGTGGCAGAGAGGGCTTGTTTTTCAGCAACTTCAGCTGCATCTAACACTTTGTCTGTAGTTTCAAGATAAATCAATGTGATTACTACATATTCTTTTCTTTGAATCACAAAACTATGAAGTACTCTTTACTCACTGGAATAAATCTAAGAATACATAAACTAGTCAAAAAATCGGATACAAAATGTATATATGGATTGCAGACTAGATGAGTAGGTCCTACTAACAAATTTTGTAAAATCATATATATTCTGTCTTCTGATATGTTATTGATTTCTGTATTGATAATAGAATTATTACTTACTGACAGCATCGAGTGAGGCCAAGAGGACTTGTCCTGGAACCATGGCTAAGAAAGCCTTCCCCACCTGTGACTGAACCACCGGTGCCATCACAGTCCCGGTGGCAATGCCAACACCATCAAGCATTGCTTTGCTCATTTGTTCTGTCATACTAGACAGGTTTCTCACACTACATAATAAAAACGTAAAAGAAAAATCCATTAAAATCTTTTGAATTATTGTAATTTTTTTTTTTTTTAATTTCTTGGTCAAAAGATATTCTAACAGAAAGATCGATGTTTCGAAAATACCGTTTTAGGGTTTGATTGATTTTGTTCTTCTTTGTGGCACTAGCATCATTGTTGCTCTTACTTGATCTGTTTTTCTCGTCCACAGCTTGAGTTAGAATCATTTCCCCTCCCTTTTGAACCTGTTTTTTGCCCCTCAATTTTAATTTGACAAACCATTGAATCATGTAAACTATAACACACTGTTTAGCATAACAAAAATCCAACATTAGTAAGTGGCCACATCACTAGGAGGTAAAGTGTTCGAGTCCACTCCCTATGCTGGAGTCTTCTATATAACTAATTATTTATTACTTCCGAAGTAATGACTCGATATACTGATGTGGTGCTCTTAACCCAATAAGAGTTCTAGTAATGGGATGAGTGAAGCTAGCCTAACTCAGCTTGTTTAGTTAGGTGGGAGATAAGGTTGATGTCATTCATCTTCTTTTATGTGACTTTATTGGTCGAAAGTATTATATGCACATGCGACAACGATATTTTAAGAATATTAAATAATTTTCCGTTCGATATATTGTAAAAAGCAAAAATAAAAAAATGATTACTAGGCTTCATCACATTGGTCATGGGTACTGAAATAATGTTTTTTAATCTTTTCAATAACAAAGAATTTTCTATGATATTAAGCTCCCAAAATTGTCGTTAATTTAAGTCACCATGTCCTATTATTCCACTCCACACGCGTGCACATATATATATATATATATATATTAGTGGGTGTGTGCTGTGAGCTAATAGATATACTTTTAAATTTATAAAATATAAATTTTGATTTTGAATTAAAAACATGTAGCATCTATTGCTTAAAAGTGTTATTTACATTGGTATTGCTCAATTAATAAAAGTATTGTTTATCAAACTAATGGTCTTAGGTTCAAGTTCCTTTCACCACCCCAGTATTTAATTTTTCAGTTACTTCTTCACTTTATATAATCTATATATATATATATGGTTGATGTGTTTTGATAACTAGATTGCAGTCTACGTTCAAAAATAAAGTGCACTCTACAATTGCTCTCATAGAGAAATTAGCATAAGGTTCATTTTAATCAATCCTGCAACAAAATTGGCATTTTCCCTATCATGTCATGATCACTGCAATCCTAAATTATGTTGCCCTTGAGGAATGAAAGCATTACTACATTTTTTACAAGCGTGTTAGCATTCTATATAACAATTCTACTTTGAGCAATGTAATATATAAATTCAATTTTTTTTTCCATATCAATAGACACAAATATGATAAGACACACGTTAATAATTACGTTCAGTCTTGAGATTTTAGGAGTCCCAAGCCGAAAAATGGAGCCTCTACATTTCTACATACCATGCAAAAAGATAAAATATAATCTGTATTTTTTTTAACTGTTTATACAAGAAAAGAAAACACGAAACAAAAATATAGAGTGAAAATATTAAAAAATAATAATAATAAATAAATAAATTGAACCAATTGCACCACAATATTATATACTTAAACATTTATAGCTGTAAATTTGAACCAAGAGCTCCGGTTTGAGATTGGATTAATTCTTTTACTTTTATTTTTTATTTTTTTCATTTATAAATAAATACTTTCTTGGAAGTTTGATTAAATAAACAATCTAATCCACAGCCCAACAAGCAACAATCAATTCAAATAGTAGAGATTTCAATTTTCAAGTAAAGTTAGCAAACAATTAAAGTAGAACCTAAAATAATACAAAATCTTAAGGTAATCTAGAGAATACGAAAACTTCAAAAAGTTCAATCCCAGAAGAAAAAATTGGGTTGGGAAGAAGTATGGTAAAATTAAAATCAACGACTTTGGGCTCTTCACTAATAATAGTAATTTTGCCTTTTGGGTTTGGTGTTTACTAGCACTTGGATTTTGGTAAGTTAAAATCAAAATAATTTGTCCTCAAGTAAAAAAAGTTGTGTTGTTTTAGATTTGGTGTTGAGGGTGCGACTTGGGCGGTTTTGACAAGTTAAATCAAAATAATTGGTGCCTCCATTTAATAGAGGCCCAATAGAAGGAATTGTGTTCAGCCTTAATATAGTAATTATTTTTTAAATCAGCCGCTTTGCGATCCATTGTTTTGCTTCTATTAACAAAATATCTTGTGAAAAATCCATTTATGTATAAGGTTTTCTACTATTTTTAGTGCTAATGCAAAACCTGGTTGGTGTAGGCATTGCTACATTTGAAGATCCCCTTAACAATCTGACCAGTCCCTTCTGCAATTGCCTTAGCCAAAAAATTGTTGAAATCTTCAACCCTAGGTGCGAACTCATTCCAATTCAAATTTTTATTTTGAATTGAAAAAGATGAACACGAAAAGCATGAATTCTCTTGCAAATATGAATCCAACAAGCCCAAACTACCACCATCCAAGAAGGTCACTCCATAGCTGAGTTGATCACCGTTTTTCATTGGCAAAGAAAACAAGTAGTGCAAAGCATCGAGCTTGACAACCGGTTCATCTTTTGTCAAAGGCCATTGAAGATCATCACCAATTTTCACAGTAGTAGCAAGAATGACATTGTCATCCAATATGCGACAAAGGGTGAAATCTCCATTGGCAAGCTCTAGTGCTTCCCCTTCTTCCACTAGATGGACTTTGCACCCAGGTATGCGTAGCAAAACTTCATGTTTCACATTTTTGGCTTCTTGGTTTTCTTGTTTTGAGAAGGTTTTGGTAGGAGGTTTAATAATCTTGGGCTTACAGCAGCTCATTTTGTTGTTGTTGTTGTTGTTGTTGCTTTCTTTGTTTTTGAAGAGATTGTTTGTTAGGAAGAAAAGAAAAGAAAAGGAAGGAATAAAGAGAAAGTGAGGAGAAAGTTCTGCTTTGGTTGATTCCATTTTTTTTGGCTCACTTTATTCTATTCTTCATGTATGGTCTTGTGATGAGGTTATGTGGAGGATAAATTAATTGACTGCATTACAGCCTGTGATGTTGGATCATCACAGAAGATCTCACAATAGTGTGATCATGAGTTTAGGAGCCACAAGATGTGCACAAGTATGATACAACAGTGACTGCCTCCATCATGATCAGTGCATATGTAATTTTAGCTTCCTCTTCAAATTGGAGTAAAGACACATGCTCAATAACCCACAAATTACTTGTGAAAAAAAAAAAACCCACAGATTAATAACATTTGTAAAGTTAAATTCTTTTTTTTTTTGGTATGCAAAGCTTTTAATAGAATAGAATAGTTAGGTCGGCGTTAAAGCTTGAACACAAGGTATAATTCGAGAAATCATGCCATTTACCATTAGGACAATGACTTTGCACTCTTCGAAATTAAAGCTTGAACACAAGGTATAATTCGAGAAATCATGCCATTTACCATTAGGACAATGACTTTGCACTCTTCGAAAATGCCCCTAGGAAAAAGAATGGAAGTAAATAATTTTTTGAGACTGGTTCCTTTCCTTGCATAATTTGAACTGGGCTTATTTGAATTTGTGGAGTCTACACATATGTTCCGTTTTAATAATTTAAAAAGTTTATTTTGTCAAGTAATTTTTTGTATCTTAATAAAAAAAAGTAGAACAGTTTAACAATCATAACCTGTTTTTATTTATTGCATTTGTTACCCACAAAATAGATGATTTATTTTTTAAAATATAATTGTGGTCTATTTTTTTATTTTTTTTTTTGTAAAATTAAGTATGTTACGATTATTAGATCAATTTAATTTTTTATGCAGAGTACTTAATAAAATAAACAGTTTAAATTATTAAAAAAAGATCCGTAGTGGGCCCATGAATCTAAACAGTGCCTCCCAATCTACATTATGAACGAGAGGCTGACCATGGTGATTCTTTCTTTCTCTCTCTGTCTTTGTCGGTATGATTGAATTTCTAATGGTACCCAAAACTCTTTTTTAGGTGTCGATAAGAGGATTTAGAAAAAGGAAAAATTACACTTTGCCCCTTTTATATTTGACCACATTCCTACTTTGGTCCTTAAATTTATTTTTTTCCACTCAACCCTTTATATTTTAAGTTTTTTTCAATTTACTTCTAAATAGGGATGGCAATGGAAGGCAATAGAGTGGTTATTAATTCTCCATTCTCATTCCCCTATAATTATTTTTCTCCATTCCCCATGCCCCATGAGTACTACCCTCCCCATCTCCTAATGAGTTTAGATTTTCTCTAACCCAACTTGACCCAATAATTTTTTTTTTTTTTTTTTTTTCTCCTAAGGTTCACAACCAAAGCTAAATATATATGTAATTTAATTTTTGAACTTAACAATAAAATCAAATACACATTAATTAATTAATTAAGAAGTTCGTTTTAAAGTAATTGAATATATAATTTTAAGACAATCAAATAAGTTTTTAGTGATTGAAAAAAAAAAAAAAAACTAAAAATTATATAATTATGAGTGTTTTCACCTGATAACGCCACATCAAAACATTTTAAAGACAATAAAAGAAAAAAAAAATCTTACAAGAATCATGTAAAAATGATATTTAATATTAAATGAAATTAATAACTCAAATGTAATAAGACCCAAAATTCTTATAAATTTTTCAATCGAATTTCATTGACATCTATATTTACAACACATTAATTCAACTGAAAGCAAAAGAAATAAAAAAAAAATTAAAAAAAATGAAGTCCAACAACAGTAGCAACACTCTAAGAGTAGTAGCAACACTCCAACAACAGTAGCAACACTCCCGCAACAGCAACATTTCATCAAGACTAATCTGTGCATAAGCCCTGTCAAGATCTATCTGCACCAATGCTTCACTGCTCCAATGTTCACTCTCTTGTACATGAAGAAATGAAGTCCCTAATTAGTGTAAATCCATATATTCAATCCAAACCACAAGTTAAGAGGAAAACCAATCCACCAAAACATCACTAATGACAACCTCACTTACAAAAAATTTACAAATCTATACTATTAACATGATAAGGCAGCCCAACACATATCCACCAGCAACACCATCTCACCCCCCTTTCATATCAAAAAACCACCATAACATGGAAAAACATCCTGAAGAATCAGCAGCCCAACACAAAGAGGTATCCTTTCCTTGCAATAAGATTAAATTTTTGGTGGTGGCCATTTCTTCAAGACAAAACAGTTGTTATCTCGGAAATCTAAAGACTGAAGAACACCTAGGAAGCATGCTTTAAATATCAGCCGTATAATATCCGTCGATACATTAGGGATTGGATACTTCTGATATTATTATTTACTCATATATCAGTCTAATACTATCCAATACAGCCTAATGTATGACTATATTGCCAATACCAGTAGGTATATCATTATTGAAAACAACGAAGAAGAATTAATTTACTTGAGATAACGTCAACAGTACCAATGCATGAACTATTAAGGAATGCCAAACTAGATAGAAACAAAACCTTAAAAATAAAAAATAAAAATAAAAAAAAGAGAGAGAAGAGATGGAGCAGCAGCAACTTCTTGACTTTGTTATCAAGAAAGAAATACAAGACGTGGCAGAGGCCGTGGTAGTGATGAAAAATAGGTTTTATGTGGAGGGAAGGACTTAAAAATTAAATCTGAAACCTTCTGAGAATAACATAAATATTGAATTAATATTACCTCAACACTACCAAAGGGAAACAAATTCACAAATAAGAATAAAATTAATGTACTAAAGGCATACCCAATGCAAAAGAAAGATCAACTTTGATTCACATCCATATCATCATATATAGTGGCGACCAACTAATTCTGATGTTGAATTTCTTGAAAAATAAGAAAAAAAAAAGTATTGAGATTATTCAATGAAAATATATTTATTTTAAAAATAAATATATGTTGATTTATTTAAGTATCTTGCATCTCTATAGCCCACAACCAACTCTGTGCACACATCAATGCTTCCAAAGTATCTGGATGAAGTCTACTCCGATACGGGCTCACCAACCTACCACTAGTGCTAAATGCAGACTCAGAAGCAACAGTGGATACCGGAATAGCTAAAAAATCCCTAGCTATTGCCTGCAAGGTTGGATACTTCGATGCATTTGATTTCCACCAAGTCAACACATCAAAATTGGGAGTTCTTGTCACAACATCCTCTTCTAAATAATGGTCTAACTCTGATGTTACATTGTTGACTTTTTTTCTTCGCTTTCTACTAATAAACAAATCATAATCTGAAACTACCTCTGAATTCCCAAAATTTGAACTTGTAGAAGATTCAACATTAGCATCAGTTCCCAAACTAAGTTTTCTTTACAAATTTCTCTAGCGAACTCCCACTCCTCCTTACTTGGCAATGTTATATATTAGGTCTCTTTATATTTGAAACGGTAAAATACATCCTTATATAACAAGGCAGTTTGAAGCATCAAATATGTTGAATTCCACCTAGTAGCACAATCAAGTCCCATCTTTTTAGTATTCAAATTTTTTACTTGACGAGCTGTTTCTTCAAATTTTTCTACTCTTTTAGGTGTTGCTGTCCAATAAGCTACACTATCTCGAATTTTCTCTACACCTACTCTTATCACATCCAATCCATCTTTGACAATCAAATTGAGAATATATGCGCAACAATGCATATGAAACAAAGTCCTACCCAAAAGAAGAGAACTACTATCCAATTTATCCAACAAAATGTTAATCATCGCATCATTGGTGGAACAATTATCAACAGTGATAGCAGACACTTTTCTATCAAGATCCCAATCCATCAAACAATTGAACAAAGTATCGCAAAGAACTTCTTTTGTGTGTGGACATGGAACATAAATGAACCTAAAATCATAAATTAAAACATAAATTAATTTATATGCATATAATATAAGATACAACAACAATCTGTAATAAAGCATAGATTAATTTATATGCAAAAATATACCTCAAAATACGGCTTTGCAATGACCAAGAATCATCAATAAAGTGTGCCGTGACCGCCATGAACCCTTTCTTTTGATTACTAGAAGTCCACATATCAGTTGTGATTGCCACTTTACTTTGATTGCTCTGTACCAATCTCATTATCTTCTCCTTCTCATTGTCATAGATCTTCAAAATATCACTTTTTATTGTGTTTCGAGAAGGTACTTTAAACAATGGTTGAAGTGCCATCGAATATCTTTTGAACCCAATATGATCCACAATAGACAAAGGGTATTCATGCAAGATTATGGCATTTGAAAGTTCTCTCCTAGCAACATCTTCATCAAAACTATAAGAGACTTTCAGACTCTCCTTGTTAAAGTTGCTAGAATCAGAATCAGAATCAGAATCATCTACATCAAGGACATTTTGATTGGGGAGGGGAGGCTGTGATGGTAGAGAGGTCTCACTCTCAACCGATATTGATGGTTGTAAACCATCAACGGGTAGTTGGGAGTTTGCTTGAGAGCTTGCTCCAACTTCCAACATTATCAATACTTACAAATCCTAGAGAACATAAATTAGAACACACACAATCATATTGATATTCCCTAACAACATTTTCGCATAAAAAGGAAAAAACAAGAGGAGAAGAAATAACAAATTCTAGGAAATTGAGTTACACCAAATGATTAGAACATGGATTTCATACCCATATAAGGAACAAACATCGAACAATTTATATTAACAAGTTCAATTCAACTAAAATTGGATTCACATAGACACAAATGGAAGATCTATTCACTCCATATCAATAACTGAGCTGGATTTGGTTATATCATAAGGAGGGAAAGTGAAAGGGGCAGTGAAATGTAAAAAATAAACAAGAATTATTAAGACAATTAAACAGAGCATTTTAATAGATAAGCAAAACAAAGTATACCGATGCAAATAACTTGGTTATTGTATTAAAAGTGAGGCATTCTTTTGCAGCAAGAACGATTTCTAATGCCAACTCTGGTGCGTCCCAAGGACGGATCCAGGATTATGACTTTGGGGGGGCCAAAGTACGTTTAACCTCTAACCAATAAAATTTGAAGTTCAATACCAATTTCTACTAACATGAAAAAAATCAATAACGTTATGATAAAATTTTGAACTATATATTCCTTGTCAACAGAGTTGACTACAAAAAGATAATCATACAATTGAGAATATTTTTTTGTCCATATTCACTTACAAAAAGTAGTAACTATTTCTACATGCATTTATTTACTAAAATTAGACATTTTCAATTAAGCTCGACGCTCTTTCATAATATCAAAAATATGAATGATAGAGTTTACATCAAACCCTCAAGCAATGTCTTTTTCAATGTACGTAATTAAATAACTAGCCAGAAAACCATCTTCCATCCTATTGCCTAATTTAGACTTCATGAGTTTCATAGCTGAAAATGCACGTTCTGATGTAGCAATTGAAATAGGTAAAGTCAACACAAAACAGATCAATCTATCAATAAGAGAACAATTTGTTGACTTTTTTGTTTTTGCCAACATAACTCAGAAATGGTTGACAGCTTCTGAAACTCGCGAAATATGAAAATATCAAGCTTATAGTTTTTCAACTGATACTTCAAATGCAATTTTTCTTGCTCAGTGAAATCCATAGGATAAAATTTATTTGCAAGATTGCAAATATCTTCAATTTTGAATGATCTATAACCATCCCTAGGATCCAAAGTTGAACTAAGAACAAGCAATTCCATTACATCTTCCTTAAACCTATTGTTTAATTCTTGTACCTGAGAATCAATTGTAATTGGGGGAGCTACTCTATATAATTTTGAAATTATCTAAAAATAACTTGGGGGTGCGAACTCCAATAATTTTAAATTATTTTAAAATTTCTAATATAATATATGATATTTTTCAAATTGTGGGGGGGCCCCCCCCCCCCCCCCAAACCTAGATCCATCCTTGGTGTGTCCCATTCTGCAACAAAACTTGGCCGCCGTGGTGGCTTTTTGAGTGTTTGGGGTTTAAGGAAGCCAAAAGCCAAGGCTTTTCCATGTGTGGGAACATTTATTATTATATACTACACTTAACACACAGATCTCACACCAAACTAGAACAGCCTTTGATCTAGGGAGCACCTTTTTGGTTTAACTCATCCAAAATTATTAATAATTATATCAGGCTGTACCATCATAATTCAACCATACAACATTTATATGCCCAACCACATTACTTTATATAGGCCTAGTAAATTAAAAATTATTTTTTAAAAAAAACATATAAAAAAATAAAATAAAAAATCATATTGACAACTAATCATTATAGGAGATATATTTGATAATCTTTAAAGAAAATTGAACCTTCAAGCTTTTTAATTCTTTAATTTCAACTATATATTTGTAAATTAGTTTCAATCCTATGATCATTCAAGTAATCTTATCTAACAGTGAGAAATTAAAATATACATAACACTATATTATTTTATCTGCCAACTTCATGTAAATTATAATTTCTATTTATTTACACCAAATCTAAATCTCACCTTACCAACAATTTACTACACCCAAATTATCCTATCATACATCTTATCACATTTTCTCAAACTCGTCACTCTCCTCTCCTTTCATCTGCTCGTTTCTCTTCATTACCTATTCAAAATTCTACCCAACTGCTACCAACCACCTCCTCCTCCTTTCGTCCATTTCCTATTCTTTACCTCCACTTCAACCACACCCTACCACATTGACTACCACCTATGCTTCCACCTCCACAATGCCCAACACAATTGACAATATTCATCTCTTTAAAAAAATTCTCTAATTGTCGTTGAGAGATTCAATGACGATGACAACAATAACTAATGCCAACTTCGGTTATGAGAATTTGACTGAAAAAATAAACACAGTCTCAAGTCTTTTCTTGAAAGTATCTATCATCCATTACACCACTTGAAGAACATTGATTTACAATTTTGGTTATTGTACGGTCATCAGAGTAAATGTACCAAATCAAATGTGGACACATGGGAGTTCCAAATTATGGTTACTAGGAAATTTTGTTTGGGAGGAGAAACCCGCTTCCAACGGAGACAAAACTCATGAAATTTTAAGGAAAGTCTTAGAAAATCATTCCTGGGACGTTTTTGAAACTCTAGCATAATATGAAGAAACGTCTATATCACGATCGTCTCCCATTTTCCATAATAATTTGGGCCATGTTTCTGTTTCCTGCTTCCACTTCCCAAATAACCATGAGATTATAAATTGTTTTAGTCAAATGCATTGAACCGTTCAATGTCCAAAATTTAGTCAAAATCACAAGCCTTTGGAACACTGAAAGTTCTCATAATAAAGGATATTATGGCACTCATCCACAAAACTTGAACACATCTTGTACTTTAGCAATGTATCATCTTAAGAATAGCATTAAAACACCTACAAATCCTGTTCTGTACAAGCCCCCCACCACACAACAAGAATAGCATTAAAACTCTGAGAATAAAAATACTAATTAAGGACATCCAAAACTCACCAAAACAGTCAAAAAGTTTATCACAACTCAAATCAAACTCACCACTTTATCTAATTATATGATGTTTATAACGTCCTCCCTGTAAAACTGTTGATCATCTTTACATTAGTAGTTAACTATAATAATTTCATCAGACAGTATACCCAATTTAATATAATTTTTATAGCCACTTTTGTGCAAATAATGTTAAAAAGTTTGCCTGGGAAATGCAGATGGGACCAGTTTACTGGGTAAAGCGCAAAAAAATCTAATTTAAAACCTCCATATTCTTTCCTTTAATATAAATAAATAAACAATCACAAAACAAAAATAAAGAACATGTTTA